AGAAGAGACCACCCATCAGGGGGCTGGGAGGAGGGGGGCTGTGGGGAGCACACCCGTCAGGGGGCTGGGAGGAGGGGGGCTGTGGGGAGCACACCCGTCAGGGGTCTGGGAGGAGGGGGCTGTGGGGAGCACACCCCGTCAGGGGGCTGGGAGGAGGGCGCTGTGGAGAGCACACCCGTCAGGGGGCTGGGAGGAGGGGGGCTGGGGGGAGCACACCCGTCAGGGGTCTGGGAGGAGGGGGCTGTGGGGAGCACACCCGTCAGGGGGCTGGGAGGAGGGGGGCTGTGGGGAGCACACCCCGTCAGGGGGCTGGGAGGAGGGCGCTGTGGAGAGCACACCCCGTCAGGGGGCTGGGAGGAGGGCGCTGTGGGGAGCACACCCCGTCAGGGGTCTGGGAGGAGGGGGCTGTGGAGAGCACACGCCCTTTGGGGGGCCCCCTCTGGCGTGCCGCTCGTGGATCCAGCGAGGGTCCTTCTCCCCGCTTCCCGGCCATGCATGGACTCACTGCTACACCGCCCAGGGAGTCATTCCCTTCCACGTGGGGCTCCTGCATATCCACGGGCCACAACGACGTGCGTGGAAGTGTGATGTTGCAAGGAACGTTTTTGATTATTCGTTTTAAAAAGTAATGAGAATCAGATGAAGACAATCGATTTCAGAGAATGAAGAGGCTTGGTCTAACAGGGATCTTATCTTCACATCTCCACAAGCCAGGCAGGACGTACTCCAGAATGGGCCGACAGAATGGCATGTATCCTGCCATCCATCCACACAGGGCCCGGGCATCTTCATGGTCAAGCCCACCGCCAGGAGCTGCCGTTCTACAGGATTTCCACCCTGAAACAGCTCTTTCACAGATGAACACGACCTCGACTCAGGAACTGTCCAAGTGAGCAATTTTCAAAAATATATTTATCTTACTTATTTGAAAGGCAGACTTACAGAGAGGCAGAGGCAGAGGCAGAGAGAGGGGTCTTCCATCCACTGGTTCACTCTCCAAATGTCCACAATGGCCGGGGCTGGGCCAGTCCGAAGCCGGGAGCTTCTTCCAAGTCTCCCACATCGGTGCAGGGCCCACAGACTTGGGCCAGCCGCTGCTGCTTCCCCAGTGCGTTAGCAGGGAGCTGGATCAGAAGCGAAGCAGCTGGGACTCAAACCAGCATTCATATGGGATGCCAACGTTGCAGGCGGTGGCTACACCTGCTATGCCACAATGCCCACCCCTAAGTGAGCATTTTTTAAGTGTTCTTTTTTCTATTTTTAGACATCTAATTCTATAGATTATTTTTGTGACCCCTTCTAAACATCTCAGATGCTGGCTCAAAGAACTGCTTTTTTGAATGCTGTAGCACTTTAAAAAAGCAGTGAGAAAAATCCTTTCAAACAGAAATTCTGAGTTTATCTCATGGGGTGGGGGTGGGGACTCAAGCAATTGTATAGCAAACCCTCTGAAATAAATGTTTAAAATAGAAAGGGTCTGTTTTTTCAGTGGGGAAAAATCATTGCTTTAAAGTACTGAAGAGCCTTGTTTCGGTGATGAAGAATGGCCCTGCACGTACTAACTAGAGTCACACCCAGGAAGCAAGGCTGCAGGCCTAATTAAGACAATAGGTAACTGAGGAGCTAGGGTGCTTGTGCCATTTGTCAGCCAGGCACAGGTGGAGACAGAGCCTCCCGACTCCAGCAAGGGGAGACGGTGCGGCCTCATCTGAGGCGCGGAGGTGACTCCGCAAGACTTGGGAGGGAGACGGTGGCCAACCAACGGGCAAGGGTGCCTCCTGGCCTGGGGGGCCAATTGGGGAGTGAACCTAAATTGGATGGAAAGAATTTCTCCTTTCTCCCTGAACGCCGTATCAAATAAGGGACTTTGGAAATAAAAAAAGAATGTTCTTTCCCACAAATCTCCTCTCCAACAATTGA